TGATTGCATATATTCTCCTCCGTTGTCACTGTGCAGTACCTGAATTTGTGCTTTGTACTGAGTCTCAATCATTTTGCAGAATTTTCGAAATAGTCCTCCAACTTCCTTTTTAGATTTCATCAAACATAACCAAGTCATTCGAGTACAATCATCAATAAACGTTACAAACCACGTTGAGTCACCCAACATTGTAACCTTAGATGGATCCCATACATCAAAGTGAATGATCATAAAAGGAAGAAAACTTTTTTTTGAAATTAAAGAAAAATATGTGCTGTGACTCTTTGCAAACTCACAAACATCACAATAGAGTTGAATTGTCTACTTGGTCAAACACATTTGAAAATAATTTCTTTATGTAACTAAAAGATGCATGTCGTAGATGCTTATGTCATAACCAAATATCCTCGACTTTTTTCACTTCTTGAGACCCTTTTGTTGCTAGTACTTGACCAAGTCTCTTTGAATCTTTTTCTTTCAGGTTCAGGTAATACAACCTTCCTCGCCTAATACCACAACCAATCGTCTTCCTCATTTGAATGTCTTTAAAAACACAAGAGTCAGGCCAAAAAATCACAACCCATAAAAGGGTTTTGGTTATTTACGAGACTAACAATAAATTATATTTAAGAGAAGGAATAACAAGGGAAATATTAAGGTTCAAATTATTTGAAATAAAGACAGTTTCTTCTCTAATGATAGTGAATTTACTACCATTGGCTGCGAAAATAATATTTTATGAGGAATGTTTAAGATTTTTAATCTGTCTAACATCAAAAGTCACATGATCAAAACACGTAGAGTCAATTATCTATGCATTATTCAGAACGATAGATATGCTTATTAAGGCCTTACCATTGGAATCATCACTACCTGCGATTTTAGCAAGTATCATACCTTTGTCGTTCTCTTTGTCAATGACAGTTACAACAGCAGTTATTCGCCGGACTGTCTCTCTTTGGATCAATGCATAACATTCTCAGGTATCACTTCTTTGTGCAAGATTTCTCTATGAACTTACTCAAAATCATCATCCAGTCCAGCAAGGAATATATTCACTCTCAATCTTTCAATGGACTTTTGATATGACTTCACATCATCAGAGTCTTTCATGACTACTTTGTCACGATGATCCAATTCCTTAAAAATCTCAACCAACTCCCCATAATATTCAGTTATAGTTCTATTATTTTATTTTACAGTGAATGCCCTTTGATTCAGAACAAACACTAGTAGCTCATCACTTCCATCATAAAACGTCTTTGACAAAACATTCCAAATATCGAGGGCAGTGGGTAAGCGAAGATACATTTTCATGATTTTTGACTTCATGGATATCAGTAGCCATATTTTCAATTTTTGGTTTTTAGCATACCATTTTTCATATCTTTATCTTTCTTTGTTGGAGGCTTCACCTTCCCATGGATGTAGGACAATTTTTCTCTCTCTGTAATGTGCATCTCCATTAGTTGTGATCATACGTCATAATTGGATTCATTTAGAATTATACCTACGTTGAGGACACCTTCAGATTGAATGACCACTGTAATTGATTTTTCTACCATCTTTCCAGTTAAGATCTCCAAGGATTTAGAAAAAAAAAAAAAGAATCAATTCTAAGCTCTGGTACCAAATTGAAAAATATAAAATTCATTCTATAATTTTATTTATATATTTTTTGGATATAAATATTATATTTTTATAGTATTTTATTCATATAAATTAGGACTATATAAAATAAATTCTGATTATGTACTATTTTATATAACTATATAAATTTTAATTTAACTAATCAAATATTTTATAATTGTAAACGTTTAAGTAGCCTTTTGAATACAATGTAACATGGACAATATTACATTTGGAATTGGATAATTTATACGTTCCTGATATTCCATTAAAGTATACCGACCAAATCAATCCCTCACTAAAACCCACCGACACCTATGACACTGACAAGAAGTTTGATGTTAATATGGGTTCAAGTGGATTGGTTTCCATTTTTCTTTATTATGAATTAAAATGTATTCGATTCATGGTTAAATGGATTTGAATGGTTTAACCAATAATTCATAATATATTTTAAAATTTATAAATAATTAATAATTTAATACAAATTTAATTTAATTTATTTATATTATCTTATATGTGGATTGTTATAAATAAGAGACTCATCATCACTTAAGGTTGTTGTATTGTACCGTCGTGTCTTTTGGGTTCATCACCACTTCTATAACGTGGACTTGTGTTTGCCGGTCTCTATGCGTCTACTTTCATAAGTAAAATTTCAAAGTAGTTTTAATTATAGATTAACGTTGTATATTCATTATTGATTTTTAAGTGGAATTCAAAGTTCAGACCTCTAATTATTGTCAGACAATATAAAAAATTCATGTTAGAGGAATTAAAAAATAAAATAAAATCATGTGGATGCCATAAAATTTGCAATTACAGACGACAAGTACACATATAAAGGTATGATTTTTAGATAGTGTATAAGAATAGTTGAATTCGTGATTTGCATAGGTTTTCTTCTATACTTTTATTGTTTTTAAAACATGGATTAAAAATATTTTTTATTCATATATTTCGTTAAACTTAATTTTCGTCTCTATATTTAAAAATTGATTAATTAATTTTTTAAATTAAAAAAAATACGTGAACCGCCTATCAATAATATAGCAATAAAAAATTATTAAATACTAAATATAGATCTAAAAAAATACTAAAATAATATTTAAACTTTTTATCAATTTAATTAAAGTAAAAAATCATTATTAAATATTAAATTATAATATAAAATTATTAAAATAATGTATTTTTATAAATTAAAGGACTAATTAATAGGTTTTAAATGTAAGGATAAAAATCAAATTAAGAAAAGAATACAAATATTAAAAATATATTTAATCCTTTAATATGGTACGAATATTCATTACTTATGAATTATCTAATTTTGCTTTAAATAACTCTCGTACCAGAATTATTTCTTTCGAGTGTGGTTGGTTCATTATTCTTTAAGAGAGTTTCGAATTTAAAGTTTTGTGTTCCTCAATTTCTAGCTACTTATCAAATTGAGGTAGTTTGTGAGGAGGGACATTATGGACACTTTATAAGCAAAAAAAAAATGACAAGTTTAAATACTTGTTTAATCTATTAATCATGATGAAACTTTCTAAAAGTTTCTTAGAAGAGAATTAGACATAAATTGGGTTGAATGAACCAGCATAAAACAAAATATTTTCGAAATGTTTACATAAGAAAAAAAAAGTTTGAAGTTTTATTCAAACTCATCCTTTTTAGAGTTTAGTTGTATGAGAACATAAACAACTTTTTTTTCTTTCAATTGATTTTCTAGTACCACATAGAAATGGAGGTGTGCGTGTGATGGAAAAAAAAGAAGAAGTGAGTAACGACTTTTAAACTCTTTATTCTAGACTTAAGGGAGGGATTTAGTTTTGCTTGTATTTCACTTGTTCAAGGCATTAAAACTTGATATTTATCTAAGAACCTAATTGAAATCAAACAAAAGCAATTATAGAAAATCTCATGAGAGAAAAAAGATAAAGGAATAAAATCACCTTAAATTTGAATGACCTCTTGTTTCTTACGACAAGGTTTGTCGTCTTCGACTAATTTATTTTACATTAAATATTAAATTCATGATAATTTTATAAAATTATAAACAATTAGTTTAAGTGATTTTTATTTTTATATGAATAATATTAAAATATTACGTACATTTTAAATTTGAGTTTTAAAAATATTTTAATAATTAAAATTATTTCAATGTTAATTTATCAAAATAATATGATGATTATTTGTAAAAGAGATAAACATTGAGAATTAATTAAAAAAAACATATATATATATATATATATATATATATATATTAATTTATCATTTAATACCTGGTAAAATAATTGAGTTATTAGCTAAAAGATTTATTATATCCACATAGTTTTTTTAACAAGTTTAATACTAAAATTTACTTGGTACAATGTTAAAAATCTTAATGTATTTTGTTGTTGGAATTTATAAATTGTAAGAGAGAATCAAAAGAATAGAGCAACATCTAAAGTATGCATGAAAGCCTTGGAAAAGCCTTGGAAAACGACCTTCTGGATCTAATCAATTTAGGTTAGGAAATGTGTTAGTTGTAAACTCAAAAGCACGTTTATAAAGAAAAATCTTCAAACCCACAGTTTCAAGTAGCTTTCCATCCTCTTTCCTCGAATTTTACTTACCAAGTCAGGTGGAGAGTACTGACCAAGTCAAATTGGAGTCTATAAGCTCCTGTGTTCCTGAATGCAAGCCACCCTCTCACTGGAGAAAGAAAGAAGATGGAGCTCATCCCCATAAAAAATCAGAGTCGTCTGCAGAAGACAAAGGTGTGGAGGTTTGTGTGTTTCTTTTCATCTATTGTTGGATTGCTCTGCTATGCTCTCAGCTCTTCTTTCAATCATTTGTACGGAAATTGGACCTGGTGGAGGATATTAGTCTATATTCTTTTTAGTTTCATTGTCTGTCTTGCCGTGTTATTTGCAAAGGCTGGGGAGTGCTACACCTCTCCCCGCCTGGAAGCTCACATGGCCTTTGTTATTTTGATGATCACTTCCATTTACACCTTTTTCTTCGACGAAGAAGTGAAAGGAAAACCAGATGCATATATTCTGGTTTCATGTGCTGCTTTTTCTATCGTGTCTTTAGCCTTGGAAAGATTGAACCACTTCGGAATTGAGGTTGATCTCTTATACTTTTTCAGTGGAATCCTGACAGTACAACTCATGAAAATTAAACTATGGTTAGTGATCTTTGGAGGGTGTTTCACTTATTCCCTCATCATTATCCGTTCCACTTTGGTTGCTCCCACAAGTGGGTATCCCGGAATCCAAGACCAAGATCATGTAGTCATTGAAGTTGATTCACCTTTGCAATCACATGGAACCAGAACCAGTCCTAGCACTAATCATGAGGATTCACCTCAAGTTGATGTTACCATGACCCAAGAGGCTGATTCCCCTCCAGAAAACGAGGATCAAGGATTACTGGTCAGTCACAACAACAGTGGCACTGATAAGAATAGTATAGGGGCAAAGTTCAAGGATTGTGTAGAGACCCTTAAGAAGGAGAGTGAGAACCTCTTCCTCACTACACTCAAGCACGTGGACGAATGCGTTAAATCTGATTTGGTCACTAGGAACCATAACAATCAATTGCCGCAGTTGCATCGGGACGACAACTTGGTTCTGGATTCGTTGCCGTCTGGAAATATTAACGACCTTGGTAAAAGCATTAAGCTTAAGGTGGCAGCTAGGTTAGAAGAGGAATGTTTAGATGTGTACAGAACTTGTCGGAGGGGGTTACGGAAGGACATTCGGTCCTTGTTTAAAAAGCTATCAAAATAATAATCTTCTCGATCATGATCTCAACTCCACAACGCAAGCCACTCACGCCTAGTATCTTGATCGTTTTTCTGTTTTAAAATTTTCTCTAAAAGATTGTTTTCTATATAGCTGTATCTCTTGTTATCTTTAGTGAACCATTCTTATCTGGTATTGAAATAAATATTTTCTTTTCCTTTCTTTTATGTTAAGTCTTTGTTACATATCTTTTGTTCTCTGTTCAATATTTTTTATCAATGGTAAAAAATGGGTTTGGAATTAGCATTAAGAGGAATATATATGATAATGCTATTATTTTAATAATGAGCTCAATTGCTTTTGTCACAAGGAAGATATCATTCATGGATAGTCTTGTCTTGTGTTAAAATACGCCAACAAAATAACATCGTTGAAAAACTTGAACTATTCTTTTTCAATATAAGGTTCCTAAATCCTTTTCGAGAGAAGTTGTTCTAACAACATATTATCTAATTAATCGTTTAACTTTTAGTGTTCTAGCCTCAAAAAGTCCTATGGAGGTTCTTTCTTCTTTCCATCCTAATATAGCCACATCGAATAACCTTGTTCCAAAAATATTTAGGTCATTACAAGAAAAAACACATTTAGCGACCGAAATTAGCGACCGAATTTTTACGGTCGCAATTAGCGACCGATTTAATTTTGGTCGCAATTAGCGACCGATTTAGTGACCGCTTTAATTCGGTCGCAATTAGCGACTGATTTAGCGACCGAGTTAATTCAGTCGCAATTTAGTCACCGAAATATGATTTTGTTACACTTTTTTATTTAGAGACCGAAATAGCGACCAATAGTTTGCGTCGCAAAATTTCGGTCGCTAAATCGGTGGTTATTCCATACTAAAATAAAAAAATCATTTAACGACTGATTTAGCGACCGAATTACAAATTGAAACAGATGACCGAATTGAAATCGGTCGCTAATGAGAAAATAGCGACCGAATTGAAATCGATCGCTAATGAATATTATTTTTTTATTATAATTAAATTTATTTTTTTATAAATATATTTTAATTGTTTTAGTATATTTTTTACAATTTACTTTTTAAAAGTAATTTATTTTTGAAAAATAATTTAATTTTTAAAATATACTTTAAAAATAAACTTTGATCTCAATATTAATGAAATGAAGATTACCTTTAATTTTAAATTACTAAAAAAAAATATTATTAAAAATAAATGAAATTTATTAAAATTTTAAATTGTAATAAATTAAGACTAGAGTGATATTAACTATTCAATACATTATTTAAGAAAAGTTTAATAACAAATATTATTTAATTTATTTTTCAATTGAAAATTTCAATTGAAATTAAATTATATTTTAAAAATTTATATTAAAAAATTAAACACATCAAATTATTACATTTTAATTCCTAATTAACTTAATTAAAAAATTACAATTTTATTTTATAATACTCTATTTTTAATCTAATTTTTAAATTTATTGCTTTATTATTATTAATTACTTAACCATGGTTGTTGTCATATAATTGGTATACAAAAAAAATTTATATCAATATACATTAGATAATAAATATATTATTTAATTAAATTATTAATAAAAATATATTTATCTTTAGTTAAAATATTTTTTAGTTTAAGTATACTAATTAATATTTTTCATTTTTAACATAATTAATAACAAAGATTAAAAATAGATTGCTAGAAAAGTTAAAAATTTAAAATTAATCTATTTTATAAATACTAAATTTAAAAAATTAAATTTATTATTATTTAATATTTTAATTTTAGTATTAAAAATTTTAATTATATTTTATTAAATTAAAATAATTACAATATATTTTTCTACTTTGAGAATTAAAAATATAATTAAACTAAAACTAAAAATATTAAATACATTTTTGAACGCTTTTTTATAATATTTTTATCATTATTATATTTTTGGATTAATTGTTTTTTTCCTAATTATTATAAAGATAAAATAGAATATGGGAGAAAATGAGGATGATAATATAGTAAAAATGATAGAGTTTAAAAACAATGTAGAATGTGAGAAGTTTAAAAGAAAAAAAAAGTTAAAAATGGATATATATATATATATATATATATATATATATATATATATATATATATATATATATATATAAGTAATTGGATTAAATTTATTATCCCCTCATATATTATTATACATTATTAGCGTAATTTTAGTTTAATTAAAAATTAGAATACAAATATACTATACTATACTAATATACCATTATATTATAATATTAATAAAAATTTATATTTTAAATTTTTTCTTAAATATGTAAAGATATAAATATATATCTTTAATATTTTGTACATGTAAAAATAATTTATATATATTTTTAAACCTTTTTCCAATATTTGTTTTTAAAAATAAAATATTATTTTAAAATTTAATATTTAATTTTTTAATATTTTCTTAAATATATAAAGATATAAATAAATATATAAATATGTAAATATATAAATATATAAATATGTAAATACATAAATATGTAAATATATAAATATATAAATATGTAAATACATAAATATATAAATATATAAATATGTAAATATATCAATATTTAAATATATATTAAAATATATAAATATATTTGTATATATAGATTTTATAAAGATATAAATATATAAATATATAAATATATGTAAAGATTTAAAGATATAAATATATGTAAAGATATAAAGATATAAATATATGTAAAGATGTAAAGATATAAATATATAAATGTATAAAGATATATATAAATATATAAATATGTGAATATATAAATATATAAATATAAATATAAAAATATATGAATATTTAAATATATATTAAAATATATAAATATATTTGTATTTATAGATTTTATATTTATATATTTATAAAAGTAATTGGATTAAATTTATTATCCCCTCCTATATTATTATACATTATTAGCGTAATTTTAATTTAATTAAAAATTAGAATACAAATATTCTATACTATACTAATATACCATTATATTATTTTCATTGTGTATAAATTACAAAACTAATAATTTGTATACTATACTACACTAACATATAATTTGTATATTATACTAATATATAATTTATATACTATACTAATAGTATAATATACTATACTATAATATTATTTGTATACAAAATTAATATCTTTATATCTTTATATATAAAGATATAAAGATATAAATATATAAATATGTAAAGATATAAATATATATCTTTAATATTTTTTACATGTAAATATATAAAGATATAAATATATGTAAAGATATAAATATATATCTTTAATATTTTGTACATGTAAATATAATTTATATATATTTTTCAATTTTTTTCTAATATTTATTTTTAAAAATATAATATTACTTTAAAATTTAATATTTAAATTTTTCATTTTTTCTTAAATATATAAATATATAAATGTATAAAGATATAAATAAATATATAAATATGTAAATACATAAATACATAAATACATAAATATATAAATATATAATATGTAAATATGTAAATATATAAATATGTAAATACATAAATATATAAATATGTAAATATGTAAATATATAAATATATCAATATTAAAATATACAAATATATTTGTATATATAGATTTTATAAATATATAAAGATATAAATATATATATAAAAAGATATAAATATATGTTAAGATATAAAGATATAAATATATGTAAAGATGTAAAGATATAAATATATAAATGTATAAAGATATAAATAAATATATAAATATGTCAATATGTAAATATATAAATATATAAAGATGTAAAGATATAAATATATAAATGTATAAAGATATAAATAAATATATAAATATGTAAATATGTAAATATATAAATATATAAATATATAAATATATAAATATATAAATATATAAATATATAAATATATAAATATATAAATATATAAATATATAAATATATAAATATATAAATATATAAATATATAAATATATAAATATATAAATATATAAATATATAAATATATAAATATATAAATATATAAATATATAAATATATAAATATATAAATATATAAATATATAAATATATGAATATATAAATATATGAATATATAAATATATAAATATATAAATATATAAATATATAAATATATAAATATATAAATATATAAATATATAAATATATAAATATATAAATATATAAATATATAAATATATAAATATATAAATATATAAATATATAAATATATAAATATATAAATATATAAATATATAAATATATAAATATATAAATATATAAATATATAAATATATAAATATATAAATATATAAATATATAAATATATAAATATATAAATATATAAATATATAAATATATAAATATACAAATATATAAATATACAAATATACAAATATAGAAATATACAAATATACAAATATATAAATATATAAATATATAAATATATAAATATATAAATATATAAATATATAAATATATAAATATATAAATATATAAATATATAAATATATAAATATATAAATATAGAAATATAGAAATATACAAATATACAAATATATAAATATATAAATATATAAATATATAAATATATAAATATACAAATATATAAATATACAAATATACAAATATATAAATATACAAATATATAAATATATAAATATATAAATATATAAATATAGAAATATATAAATATACAAATATATAAATATACAAATATACAAATATACAAATATACAAATATACAAATATATAAATATACAAATATACAAATATAGAAATATACAAATATACAAATATACAAATATACAAATATACAAATATGTAAATATACAAATATATAAATATACAAATATACAAATATACAAATATACAAATATACAAATATACAAATATACAAATATACAAATATACAAATATACAAATATATAAATATACAAATATACAAATATACAAATATACAAATATATAAATATACAAATATACAAATATACAAATATACAAATATATAA